TGATGGCCTTCGTGATGAGTTTAGCTTGTCCCATCGTCAGCTTTAACGCTTTTATATCATCTGTAGCTAGGAGCTTTAAAGCCTCCTCGTTGTCTAAGTCGTTCTTTTCTAATTGCGCCACAGTGGCCTMTTTGAGACCTGACTTCTCGGCCCAGGATGCGAAATCGAAAGACATTATTTWAAAAAAAKTTTTAAGCTGATTTCTTGAACGCTAGCTTGCTGACAACATGAACAACTGGCTGCCAACTATGAAGCCCTTGCTTTCTATGCTCACCGCACATCCTGCCTCGCCTAGTTATTTAATCATGATAAACACGTCTATCACTCACTTAATACACATTTGACTTGTTMAAGAGTTAAATTCACATCAGGATTTTGTTTAACTTCATTTACAAGTACGCTTGATTTTTCTTTTTCGTTAATTTGTAGATGAGTAATGCAAAGCGAACAGTATTTAATAAGCTATGGCTTCAAGACCCAATATTTGCATGGGTTGCACAAGTGAAAGAATCAACTAAAGCAAGGTGTAAAATATGCTCTGTTACGTTTGAGCTTGGAAATATGGGAAAACAAGCATTGATTAGTCATGCTAAAGGAAAGAAACACATTTGGAGAGTGGGTGTGTCAGCCCAACAAAACTATCTTAACTCTTTTGTCAATGTTCAAAACCAAGAATCTAGTRAAATGGCCTCTTCTACAGTAGAAAGTACAATGACTGTACCGCGTCCTCCCCCTGATCTTCCTGAAGGTGCTGGTRCGTTTGATTCTTCCTCTAAAGGCACAATTAAAAGCTTTGTTATCAAGGATGAAACACTAAGAGCAGAGGTACTTTGGGCCATGAAAGTCCTCATGTCTCACTATTCCTGTAACAGTAGTGCAGGCACTGACAAGTTGTTTTCTAATATGTTCCCAGACAATCTCATTGCCAAACAATTCCAATGTGGAGCAACAAAGTGTACATACTTAATTTGCTTTGGCATTACCCCATATTTTCATGATGAATTAATGCAAAAACTTCAAGAACAAGGAACAATGTATGTTATCTCATTTGATGAATCATTAAACAAAGTGATCCAGAAGGAGCAAATGGATCTGATTGTTCGCTTCTGGGACATTAAAAAGAATAGAGTTGTATCCAGATACATTGATTCCCAGTTCCTTGGTCATACAAGAGCTGTGGATTTACTTGAAAACTTCAAGTTAGCTCTACAAAAGCTAAACCCTGTCAACCTTRTCCAGGTATCCATGGACGGGCCAAACGTTAATTGGAAATTTTTTGAGGACCTATTAGAAGATAGAGAACAGACTGATCCAGATCTTCCGAAGCTTATTAATATTGCTGCCTGTGGGTTACATGTGGTACATGAGGCATTTAAGTATGGTGCTACAGCCACAGGTTGGAGACTYGATAAAATCCTTAGATCTCTCTGGTATACATTTTCCGATTCACCAGCTAAAAGAGAAGATTATGAAGCTCTATCTGGGAGTTCTACGTGGCCACTAAGATTYTATGGAACAAGGTGGCTGGAAGATTTGCCAGTGGCAGAACTAGCAGTGCTTATCTGGCCAGATATCACGAAATATGTTACAGAAGTGACAAAACTACCAAAGAGCAACATGCCTACAAGCCAGTCCTTCAAAAATCTGCAAKAATTCATTCAAGATCCACTTATTGTTGCAAAGCTTCAGTTCTTTATTTGCATTGCAAGAATCCTTGAGCCTTTTTTGAAGAAATTTCAAACTGACCAGCCCATGGTTCCTTTCCTAGCACAAGAGTTGCAAACCATCCTCGAGGCAATCCTTACCAAGTTTGTAAACAAATCTGTCCTGGAAGGTGCAACAACATGTGCTAAGCTGGCTAACATTGATGTCATGAAGAAAGACAACCTTCTGCCAGCCAAGAAGGTAGGTATAGGATTTGCTGCAAAGATGTCAATGCAAAAGATGGAGAGTACTAAGGAAGCCACTCCTTTACAAATCTTGGAATTTCAGAGCAATTGCCTCATCTTTCTGCAGCAATTATCTAGAAAGCTAATGGAAAGATCCCCTTTGAAGTACAAAATGGCTAGGAATCTGGTGTCCCTAAACCCCATGTACGTAGCATCAAGCCCAGAATCTGCTACAACCCGSTTCTCAAATGTTCTGCAGCAGCTGATATCACACAAAATGAAATCTACACATTTTTTTGATTCTGTCCTACAGCAGTACAAGGCATTTAAAGCTGATGTTAGGAGGTATCATAAAGATGACTTCAGGTCCTATGACCCATCGGACAAAGGTCTTGATGTCTTCCTAGCTGAATACTTTCATCAGAAGCCACAGTATGCAGACCTATGGTTAACAATGAAGATGCTGCTCATCATGTCCCATGGTCAATCATGTGTTGAGAGAGGATTCTCAGACAACRAAGACAYCATGAGCAACAATATGCACCAAGATACATTGGTTGGCYTTCGCAGAGCTTACAGTGGCATCAGAAGTCTAGAATGTCCTATTGAAGAATGTATCACAAAAGAGCTTCTCACTTCTTGCAAACATGCTCATGGTAGATACAAGTCATGTTTGGCAGTTAAGAAATTATCAGTAGAAATTAGCCAAAAAGAAGGCTTGAAAAGAAAAATTGAAGAAGACATAAGACAAGCAAGAAAGAAAAAGCAGAGGCTTGAAACTACAGCTAATGCTCTTGTTAAGGAAGCAGATGAACTTGCTGCAGATGCAGAAAAGAGGAATGACCTCGGTGTTCTTGTGAARTCCAATGCCCTACAAGCGAAATCAAGGGAAAAGAGAAAAGAAATGGAAAAGGAAGAGCACAATATCGATCATCTCCAGAAGGAACTGAAAACAGTTTAGAAAGGARATCATCGAAATCATGAGACTGAATGCCTACAAAAGAAACCAAAAACACAATAWAAGAACTGAGATATTTTTCGTTGCTGTTGCTATTGTCCATGTACATTATTTGTTTGTAATTTTAAAAGATTTTTTACCTTACATGGATTAATTAATTATTAATTAAAAGCACTAAATAGAAGTTTGCCACTTGGTCATGGAAAAATTACTTTTCGTCAGGRAAAAGTCAAGGAATTTTAATTTTTGATATGAGTGGGAACCCTGCTGTGCAATAGTTAACTTTACCCTTCAAGAATCAGAAGCAGCAACCTAAACAAGTTTTAAATGCTCATCTTATTGATATCAATATAAGCCAGCAACCGGCAGATTCTGCCACCTACTCAGCCAATTCCGTTCCCGCCTATTTCAATTTCATAACCGCCCACCAACAATTTTATTGACAACCCTGCATCTGCAAGCACCTTTTGCAACAAATAAGCTTAAAATTAAAAGCTTTATAATATGTACTGTTCGTAGGAAGTTTTTATGAAAAATTCGACTGATTTTCCGGAACAATAGATATTTACTTTATTTCTGACCTTTTGGTCTCTTTTACTGAACATTTAGAGTATTTTTAATAACATATTCAATTCAGCCCTTTCGTATGTTTTCTTAATAGAAGTCCCAGTTCTCTTAAATAAAGAGTCACCATTCATTGATTTATATCTTTTTAATTGCTTTGATTAGTTCCTAACCAGGTGCAATTCGTTCATGATCGTGATGAAGGATTGGATGGTAAGTGGGTGATCATGATTCATGCTTTAATAGGCCACAATGTGTTAAGGTTCACTATGTCAGTGTTTATGCTGCATGCCATGTTAGATGACAGAAATTGAGAATCCTTTGTTATACCAAGTACTTAAAAATATTTGTTTTGCAGCAAAAAGCTTGCATGTGCATAGTAGTGATGTAAATATATTAACTGTGGACAAATTTAATTTGCTCTCTTGCTTAAAATTTTTGATGAAAGACTAACTCTCACTTGAAAGTCAGGAAATTTGGCAAAAAGTGAAATTGATACGTGCTCTATGACAGAAGGAGCCATCTTGAAACCAAAATTCTAAATATTACAAATATAGTCATCCAAAGTCCTAATTCTCCATAATCTGTTTTAAAATGTTCCGACTCTGTTTAAGTACAGCTGTAGTTATTTTTTTTAAGTATTACAATTAAAAGATTTTAAACACCAGTTTTTATTTTGTCATTCCAGTTTATTAATTTTTTTATTCTGCTTCGTTACTTCAGTTGGTGAAATAAAAGAAAGTAACATATTCAGTCATATAAATGAGTCAGGTATATGTACACCATATCAATTCTATTTTGAAAGCAATAGTTTTTAATTGTTTTCCTTTACTATTGCTGAGGCTTTGTTATATTTTTCCTCTTCCCTCTTCATTTTTTCCTTCATCCAGCTTCAGCATTGAAGAAACTAAATGAAGTCAGTGGGCTTGTCGTCCTTCCTGTGGATGATCTGGATGATGTAATTATAGGTTTTTTCCTCCATAGTTATATAATGTATGTCACCCAAGTGTATAAATAATGCTATTTTCATGTTCAGGCATGTCTCCAAGCCTTCCATCTACAGAGGCCAATGTTGTTTGTGATTGCTGAGGAGAATGATCTCCACAAATTCGTACTACTCGGTACTACATATAGTGTTCTGAGGGCACAATTATTTTGATATGAGCATGATATATGATTGGTGACAATGTCGAATGGATGGGCTGGGAAAAAAAAGTTCATTCAGTCAAAACTTCCCATTTAGACATCACTGAAATATATTTTAACAAAGACAAATTTTTGGAGCCGTTTTAAAAAAACTTGCACAGCATGTTTTTCCAGATATATGTTATTGTTCTTATTATGCTTGTGGATATAAAATCCATACATACATTTTTATTACAATTTTTAAATAACATAATTTACATGTGTTACAAAACTACTATCTGATTACATGAACATTTGCGTCACACACTCTAATGTTTACATAAAGACTTAGTCACGAAATGCCGTACTAGTTTTGTGTCTCACACATGCATAAATCTTGACCCGCATTTAGCTATGCTAGTCTAGGCGGGCCAGATTACTCAAGCATGTTAAGGCTTGGTATTTTA